GGTGGTGCTGGAGCAATTCAAGGCCCTGAGGCCGAGAATATTCAACCTTCTGGAGACAGCAGAATGGCTGCATGGTGAGGGGAGGTGCCCATGCAAGGACAGCAGGTTCCAGTAAACCTGTGGTCTAGGGAAGGGGATGGGGTAGGAACACTGGGGAGGAGTTTGAGCATGGGGGGGGGTGGAACCAGGCAGCTATGGAGATGAGGGAGTGTACATGGTGACGTCGCTGGTGTGTGGAATTAGAAGCACAGGGTTATGAGTTAGTAAATAAATGTCTTGGAAACACTCAGGAGCAAGAGATGGGCTTTGTGAAGCCTCTGGACATTCTTGCAGAACCTGAGGACAGATGCCTGCATGAGGTATAAACAAGTGGTACCTGGCACATGAGCGAGGTAAGGTCATCGAGGAGAGAGTGGCGTGAAGGAAAGGACTAGTGGCTACCCTTGGGGACATCAGGAGGTATTGGGGGGAAGACATAATGTTCATAGGATCTTCCCGTCTAGAGCATCCTCTGCCTCCCTGCCAGTGAGAATAGAAGCTGCTACATGGGCAGACAGGTGGCCTGGCTGTGTGCCTGCCATCTGGGTGGGGCCTTGGTGTGGCCTGCCCTCTGGTGGCACTCTGGTGCTAGGGAGTGGATGATGACATCTATACCTGCCAGACAGGAGCAGCCCAGAGTGACCCATGTGAGCTAGGCATTGGCTAACTTTTTTATTTTGGCTACTGCTCTGGTTCTGGTTTGGTTTCTTAGGCAAGTGCTCTGCCCTTACACTGCATCCTTAAAGGCACTGATGTCCTCTTTAGTGTATGGTCCCGACTAGACACCTCTGGGCGCCATGCCACCAAACCCAGGAAAGCTAAGTGTCTTCATTAAAGGAGATCTCAAGGCCCAAGGAAGTTGAGATGTTGCCCATCATGACAACAGAGCTGTGGCTGCATGCATATGACTGAGTCCAGCGTCTCTTCTGCCACACTTAGGGCATGGGGCAAGCTGCAGGGCATTGAGTGTAGATGGTTTTCTGCTGAAGCAGAGGCAGTCTCAGCTGTGCCTGGACGCCAACAGGAACTCAGCCATAGCAGCCATCACGTCTGTCGCTGGGACAGTTCAGGGACACATGCTTTAAAGCCAGGCCTTCTCTGAGAAGACAGAAGCAAAACCAGGTGACAGCATGCTTGATCTGCTGAGATGGTGTGGACCCCTGATCTCTCTTTCCCTCGGCACTCCCTCCTCTACAGCTGACTTCTCCAGGTCTCTTGTATCACTCCGCAGAGAAAGGAATTCTCATGCCTGGGCTGAGGTGTCTTGGCCAAACTGGTGATAAATTCAGCAGGCGGAGAAGTTGCAAGCCCCAAGGGGGCCAGAGCTGAGCTGGGAAATTCATGTTGGTGGGGTGTTGGGCCCCATTTTCATTAGCTAGCAACTCTGGGACCCCAGAAGCTCTACATTGCAGAAGGGATGCTGGAAATGGGCATTGCAAATATTAGGCAAATGCCCTGTCCTTGTGCTACGTCCCTGAATGCATTGGTGGGTTGGATGAGGGACTGATCCGCTCTGTCTCAGTTTATAACAGAGCCCCTGCTCTGGGAGTTTGAAGATGTGAGGCCTGGCCACTCATTTCAAAGGAAGAAAAGAAAGTAATGATTAAAAGGCAGGAAGCAATTTTAGCCAAAATTGCCATTTGTAAGCATTGACGGTTGCTGGGATACTGATGTGAAGTATTTAAGCTTGGGCACAGGAGAAATCCTGCATTGTGAAGCAGTCCTAGGCAAGGTGTGGTGTGTTGATCACTACTTGATTCTGGTTCTACAAAGGTGGCCCTAAGGAAGTCTGATTCCCATGAGATGATTTCTCCTGCTTATGGGATCCTACTGTAGGATGTGGCTCTGCTGGAATCCACAGTGGCTGAAGACTTTGAGACACCTTCTCAGAGTTGTAAATAGGTTGTAAAATCAGACAGGTGACGCTAATCTCTATGCCCTTGACCTAGAAGAGGGTAGGGTGGGTTATGTGTCCTGGTGTGCATACATTGCCTGAGTGGTAGCTGTGCTGCCTGCGTGTTGGTCAGCACAGACCTGTGCAGAACGAGGGCAGAGCTGCCTTCAAAGATCAGCTGCTGCTGGGCATGGTGACCACGGACTCAGCAGGTGGATCTGTGTGTTTGGAGCCAGTCTGATCTACATAGTGAGTTCCTGATGGCCAGGACTACACAGCGAGACCTTGTCTCGGACAAAGCCTGTCAGAGCCTGTTTGTGAGCTCTGGGGCCTCCGGTCTTCCCCATGCGGCTTAGGGAAGGGTAACATCCAGTGATTCCACAAGATGAAGGGTGCCACAGACCGGCTCAGGGGAGTCATTCAGACCGCGGGAGAAGCAGGGTCTTGGTATGCAGGAAGGCACAAGTTCAGCGAATGACAGACAGACACAACACACAAGGGAGTGTTTGGAATCTGCTGTACTTTACTAAATCTATGTTTTCATTATATAGTAATCAAACAAAGAACAAGTCAGAAGGCCATGTATCAACAGTTGGCACAGTATGAAAGCTTCTTTTAGTCCCATTACCAGGGACAGGTGTTAGACATAAAACATCCTTAGAAAAGGAAATCTTGTCCTTGAGAACGTAAACCTCAGACAAGTGGTTTTACCTTATGAATAGAAAGTTTCTGTCTCGCTATCGCTATCATGGCCTTTCCTCTTCCTAACCCTTTACTTCATCTAGTCACCAAATATACCTAATCAGCTCTCTGCACCTGCTGAAATATACTTTTTAGTAGCTTCTTATGCAGCAGACACTATGGGGGTTGGGGTGTAGCAAGCCTATCTATAAAGTTCAGAGTATAATATAACAGTCTTTGTCCATCAGCATTAACCCATCTATTCCCTTGCTCATCATACACCCTGTGTATGACAAAGGTTCTGCTCTAGTCTTATACATATCCATACTGTGCTTCCTTATCCCAGAGCTGTTTCTGAAGAGAACGATCCTTGTCTTGTATATATAAAGACTATCATTATTATGAAAGAAATTGTGCAAAGCTCATATCCCGCATAGCCAGCTAATCGAGAAACCTGTCTATGCCTCAGCGGTGGCTAATACCAGGCTGTCTGCCATTGACCTCCAGGAAGCCTAGTTCCATGGGACATGTAGCTCCCATCCGGCATAATGACATATGTCATGTCACACAGATGACACTGGAGTAGGTGTGGCAGAAGGGCAGGGCTCAGTATGTTCCCACAGAAGCAAGGCCTCAGAGTCATCTTGGACACCTCATAGCCGACTGTCCTCACCGACCCCAGGAAGGAAGTGCAGCTCTAATGATGTCTGGAGACACCTACTGCAATCATGAGAGAACACAATCGTGTTGGAAGTCCACGGTGGCCTGTGTCACGATGACCATTGCTTAGTACCCCTGCTCTTGAGTGCAGTCTTCCCTGCTCCCGGGAGTCATTTCAAGACTGTGCTCTCTGGGACAGCACTGGGGTCTGAGTGAGATAGCTTAGCCTTTCCTCTAAGATGAGGCCCTCTTCCCTCACTGGCAGTAGAATAGCATGTGGACTTTAGGGTCCTCCTCTCATACCCCTTTCCAAGCTGGCAGGTGGAGACCTGCTGCCAGGCACCACCCATATACGCAGTATATACGAGGCCTGCCAGCCTCTCTAGAGAGGAATCTGGAGACAGGGCCTGGTTGATGTGATTGTTGCTCTGCGGATCACTCAGTCTGTTAACAGCTGCTCACCATAGCCAACACCATGTGCATACGACCAATAGGAGGTGACTGGGGACAGCCATCCCCCAGGAGAGCTATGTCTGCTGTATGCTAGCATGCTAAACAAGAAGTCCTCCAGGCTTGTTGGCACACGTGGTCTGAAGGAGGCTGAGAGGTTGTGCAGACTGAGGCTGCAGACCCAGCCAGTACTGTCATGAGAAGTCAACCTTGGGGTGCACTTGAGAAACCACAGGAAGTGCCAGTGGAAAGTAAGGAGGCTACATGAATGCCCAGGACACACAAGATCCCTCTGCCAGGAAGAGCTGGAGCTGCCACCACCTTCGTCTTGGCCTGCCCCCCTCATCTCGACATGCCCTGCCTTGTGCACAGTGTCAGTGGCCTCTGCCTCCTCCTCCTCATCTACAGAAAAAGGCTCGCTCTTGCTCTGCTTGTGGAAGTGCAGCTGAAGAAGACAGAGCCCACGATCCACTCAGAGCAGGCTTGAGACTGCAAGGGGTTTCCCCCATGCTTTTCTGTACACAGTAGGTCATCCGCCCCCACTCTGCTTTAAGTAGTAGCCACCATTTGTCCAGGTCAGGGACGCAGGCTGTGGGCTGTCCTGGGATGCAGAAGGTTGATGATTAGCATGAGACCCTATAGGACTGGAAAGGAAAAACACATGCAAAGGCTTTGAGGCTGTGCCCCACTATGTTCTTCTTTTCAAGGGGGGCTCAGGGGCGTCCTGAGCTGTGGCCGAGAGTCTAAGGGCTCAGGGTCCGCTGAGTACCACACTTGTGCTCACACCTGCGGCCTGGGCTCTGGGCTTATTCGTGCCACACAGCAGCATCCCCATAGGGCTGTGAGCCATTCCTTGGTCATCAAACACCGGCACGTGCCTTGACTCTCCTCTTGGATGAATACCAGCAGAGGTCCCTGTTGCACATCTGGCTGCACAACCTTGGGTGCTCAGATTTGGGCAGCATTTTCTCTTTGGCTCTGGATGGGGCTTCCCTGGGAGATGTAAGGAAGCATGGCTGCTGAGCTGACCTCCAGCCTCAAACCAGGTTCCTCATGCTGCCCTATAGCTAGCTCAGACACAGTCTGTGTTAGGGGGCAGCTTACACAGCAACATGGATATTTTATTTCTTCAAGCTACACTGACCAGTTGGAGCTGGCCAGACAGACATCTCCTGTCTCTGTGTGACCTCTGCTGGTCTCACATGTCCCTCCTGTCCCTGCCTGTGTCATTTGCATTTCAACTTTTACTTCAACTGAGTCTCCTCCTGTCTTGCAGGGATATCGCCCCGCCTGGAGAACCACTGAACAAGAACAGCAGGCCCAAAGTAGCTTCCCGCTTCCCTAAGCTGTCCCGAGGCCACCCCAGGGAGATGCGCAATGTGGAGCCTCAGAGTGGTGACCTCTGACCTCAGTGGAACCCAGACCCCAGTCACTTTGTGCTCAACCTAGCCATGGCAGCTGGCCCTGGACACCTTGGCAGGATGACCATGTTCCCACAGAGAACATGCTCTTCTTGCTGCCACCCAATTAAACTGGGCAGTTTTAGCTGCTGGCTCCCTGTCCTTAGAGCAAAAGATGGGGATACTGTTACTATACCCCCCAGGGTGCCAAGGATGGTTGTCACCTCCTCCAGTTCTGCCAGCAGGTCGGTGGGTGCCAGGACCCCTGGTTGAGATGCATGGCACATGGGCAGAAGGATCCTTCAGATGCCACTTATGACGTGTTCCCGCCTGGGAACTAGAATGACTGTTACGCTCTTGGATTTCCTCTTGATGCAACTGCCTGCTGCAGCCTGTGGATGGGACTCCTCCTCCCTGTTCCTCTGTCCGCCACGGTGATTAGACACCAACAGCACTGCCCCATGGCTGGTATGGATGGGATCTCTCCAGGAATAGTCCTCTAGTTGCCTAACAGAGGCATTGGTGGTGACTTTGGTCTTTGAAGAACTTCTTCTCTCCTTGTGCTGGCTCCAGGAAGCACTGTCCATGCAAGACACCTAAGGCTGCTCCTGCAAGGGCAGCTAGGTGGACCTGAGGGGTTTCACCATCCAGTCCAGCCATGGGCAGCCTGGAGACCCTGAGGAGGACATCCCTGGCCCTAGATTGGTGGTTGTGACCTCAGGTCCCCGGAGATTTGGCTCTGGGCATTACTGTGGAAAGCCAGCAAGCACGACAGTGTCTCAGACCCACTGCCAGAACAGAGCGGAGAATGATTGTCCTCTGAGGTTGTTTAGCACACTCTGTCCCCTAATGTGTCTCAGTGGGAGCAGAATACTGTGTCCCCCAAGGTGACGTTCTTCTATTGCTCTCATCTCAGGGCACCGTCCTAGAGGCCAAGGCTCTCAGGCATGGAGTAGAATAAGAACCAGCTGCTTGGCAACTCTGCCTTCCTCTGCCCCCAAGCTCCGGGTCTGTCTGCTTCTCAGGACCCACTGTCTCCCTAGCGCAAAACCTCCTTGGTGTCTTGGGACAGCTTGGAAAAAAAGCTTACAAAAGGAACCATGTACCAAGCAATATGTGCGTCCCTTCCTGCCAAGGAGTTCCCAGTGGCATCTGCCTGGGGGGGGGGGGCGACAGCAGAAAGCAGCCCGAATGTGGTCCTAGAAGGGCTTCAGCTCAAAGCTAGACCTTGGCAAGGGGTCTGAGGAAGTAGGGGCTTTCTAGCCCAAGGAAAGCTTAGTGAAAGTCCCCTAGAGGCAAGAGGGAACTTCAGAGTACAGGGAGACAGATAGACCTAAACAGCTCCAATTCTGAAGGGCACCTTGGGCCAGGTGGGCTGTGCCCAAAAGAGGCAGAACATACCTTTCCTCCCTCATGACTGGGAGTAGGAGTTGTGGGAAGCAGGGAAACCATCTTCAGCTTGCTGGGAGTGGAGGACCCAAGAGATTCTCAGCCCTAAAAAGAACGTGGTTCTTCTCTTGTCTGCCTAAGAGACCAGACTCCACACAAACACCACACCCAGAATGTAGGGCGGGCAGATGGACCCAGCGGCCAAAAAAAGACTCTGTGAGACTCTAGTTAGCCCTAAGCCCACCTGAGCTTGGAGACTCAGATGGACACTTGGTATTCTGTCATGTTCTGTAAAGAGAGGATCCTGATACCTCCCACATCTCCACAGCCTATAGTTCGAGCAGCAGACCTGGCCCCAACACGTCACTAAGAGTCTGTTCTCTCAGTGCAGACACAGATGGCATACAGAACTGTCTTTCACATTCAGCACCTGCAGTTAAAGCAGAGGGAGGGAAGGAGGGAGGGAAAAAGAAAGGAAGGAAGGAAGGAAGGAAGGAAGGAAGGAAGGAAGAAAGAAAGAAAGAAAGAAAGAAAGAAAGAAAGAAAGAAAGAAAAGAAAAGAAAAGAAAGCAAGAGAGAGAAAGAGTAGATGCCTTGGCTTTTGAGGATTAATTATGGGAAATTTGCCCAACTCTGCAATAATGTGACTATGAGAATGGTTCCAGGGACCATGTGGGACTTTGGTTGCTTGATATCCGCTTCTTACCCACCCCTTTTCCCCTTGTTGGGGATTGACACTGGGGCCTTGCAAGTGCTGGACAAAAGCTCTCCACTGAACCACACTCCAGACCTGCTCAGACTGATCCCACAGAAACCTGGAAATCATTCTTGGCTCCAGGGTGCCTGTCTTATTACCTCACAGTGTGAGCATGTAACCCCCTGGAACTTGGGCAGAGCAGTGCAGACCAGGGGGTTCAGGTGATGGAAGGCTGTTCCCACAATGCTCCTAGATCTGAGGCCCAAAGTCTAGAGAGGAATGTAAGACCATGGCTACCCAGTGGGTCTGACACAATGCCACCTCTTCAGGAGACTGTTTCCCAACCCTGAGCCTAGCTGTGGCCTTGGCATCCTTGTAGCTGCTAAAACTTCGTTCTTGGAACAGTTCATGTGTCCTGAGGCCCAAGTCACAGTGTTCCAGGCCTCGGCTCCTGTGCCATCTACACCAGCTCCATCTGTGTAAGACACAGCTGTTGTGTTAATATAACTGGCCCCTAAGGAGAGGCTGGACCCTGGTCTCGCAGGTCTACCACCAGACTCCATCCCTTTGGCACCCCTTCACTTGCATACACCCACCCAACTGTGCCCTGCTGAGGACTGAGAAGCTTAGATCTTCAGTCACCAGGATGACCCAGGAGCAGTCCAGCCATGCTGCCTTGTTTCTGCGCAGCTACACTGGCTGGGAGGCATGCAAGGAGGAGCAGCCTCGTGCCCATGGCAATAAGTCCTGATGTTCAACACTCCCACTAGGGACAATGCCACCCACTGCAGAGCTGCCACCTGGTTGGGGGCGCTGTGGCCAGAAGGCAGGTGCCTCCTCATGAACAAGGTCTATTGTAATGAACATTCTTCAAAATATTGTGCATTATTTCATTAAAGCTAGTGTTAATTGTTTGCTGTTTCCGTTGGTTCTGCGCTAACTTTGCACAACTGTAACACTGTATATTTTATCTAATGTTTCTGTGCCAAATGTTTGGCTCTCTGTTGCTCTGACGTGGTCTCCATTATGGTTCTGAAGTAAAGTGCAGGCAGTGGGCAGGGAGAGTGGAATGCACAGGAGCAGACTGCAGTGGACGCTGGGTCAAGGCTCGGATTCACTTCTCACCAGGACCATCTCCCATCTTGTAGACACTGCTCACTGTGTGTTTCAGCCGACATCCGCAACCCACCCAACTCCACTCCCTGTCAGGGGAGACCACTTGACCATGTGGAGGTTTTTGTCATCAGTAGGATGGATTGGGAAGCCCCAGGAAGAATCGGGACACAGGACACATGACAGTGGGTTGCGCAGGAGCCCATAGGGTTGCTGAGCACCTGGGAAGAACACCCAAGAGCTGGGACCTCTAGGGGAGCGAGGGTCTGGTTTCCCATCCCCATCTACCCCAGAGAGGTTCTGTGGCTGCTGCAGCCCTGTCTGGAGCCCAGAAGCCTGAGCATGTGGTACCCCAACTCCAACTCCCCTCTTATGTTAAGGTTTACACAATAGAATTTTTAAACAAATATGTTTAATTTTCTAAAATCTCTTGTATTAAATTTTTCTTTTGGAATAAGCTGTGGATTTTGTTACAATCTGGTTGAGAGAAGCCTTTTCAGTGAGGGGATTAAAATGGCATTTTTTAAGACTTTCTTCTCTGTGGTTTCTTTGTCTAGATTCTTTACTGACAATTAGGAATTCAATGAATACATCACAAGAAAGCCATTAGGTTCTAGAGTTTAGCAGGTTCACGTATCACTTCAGGTGACCCTTCAGACATCAAGACGTGGTTCAACTAACAGCCGTTTTGTCTGAATTAAATATGGGAGTCACTTGTAATATTATACTTATCTTGGTAAAGTAGAATGTAGAGTAAGAATTCCACTCAGAAAAACAATTCCACAAGCTCATGCCCGGTTCCTGGGCACGTAGTCAGGAAGTGTCAGGGAAAGGTACGTAGTTCCTCTAATTCCGGCCCTGTGTTTGCTGTGAACCAGGGACCACCAAGGATGGTAACAGCAGGCAGCAAGCAAGTCCGGCTGATAGGTGCTTTTGGATGTGTAAATCCAGGAGCAGCCAGGGTCACCCTGGGGTATCAGCCAGACACAACCTGACCTTCTCTAGCTGGACTGCCTTTGCCAGGGAAACCCACACCACCCTACGACCCATAGGTAAAAGCACCAGCAACTGATGTCCATGAGCCACCATGGTCCCGGGAGAAAGTGTGCGTGTGGTGGCTACTGGTCCAGACTCCTGCTGGCCTCCCCTCTGTCAGCCCTGTGGCTTCAGTTCCCTGTTCCTGGTCTTCAGGACACTCTTCCCTTTCAGCTCCTCAGTGAGTCCTGTAGCCTAAGGTGCCGCAGAGCTACCAAACTAGACCCCTCGGTGGGTAGAAAGGTTTATTGGGGATCAAACTGCCAAGGCGGTCTCTCAGTGTGTGTTGGTGTGTGTGTGTGTGTTGAAGGGGAGCAGAGAGAAGCAAATGGTGGGAAATTCAGTGGACTTTATGCTAGCTTGCAGGATGGGAACCTTGGATGTTACACAGGCAGGGACCAGATGCCCTGCCTGAGGTAATTGCCCTGGAGACTTCTGAGGAATACCGGAGTTAGGCTTCTGTGTATCCACTAACATCCCTTCTGTTTAGGGCATTGTTACCAGTACTGCCATTTTGGAGGACCCACTTTGGAACCAACAGGCCCTGAATAACATCACCACCCATAGAAGACTCGTTACAGCCAGTCGTGTGCCCCTTAGAGCAACTGCTCCTGAAGTCTAGACCTGGGCTTCCCCACACCCTCTCCTGGGCTGGGGCATTATCAGCAGAGGAGCAGGAACCTAAATATCCCATGCTGCAGATTTGTAGACCTTAGGAATCCAGGGCAGACCTCCGCCAGGTGCTCTGTGGAGCACTGTGCCCGTCCCCGTGTCTGCCAATCCCTTCTGCGCTATTTCAAGGCTGTTCCAGTTCGCCTGTGTCTTTCTCACCTCACTCCCTTCGCCTCCAGCCTCCTGTTCTTGGCCCCACGCATGCCCTGTCTTTATCTAACCCAGGCCCTCAGCATGCGCCGGTTCATCCTGCTTTCTGTGCCCCACTCATCCACCTGTCAGGTCTAACTTCAAGGTCATTTTTGAAGACGAACCTTCTTTGGCCCTCCAAGCTACCACCATTCCCTCCACAGCAGCCTCCTATTTTAAACTTTTTATTGAAAAACAATATTTTTCATATATTTTGATCATTTTCCCCTCCCTCAATCACTCCGAGATCCTCCCACCCCATTACCCACCTATCCTTATGTTCTTTCACCCCCTAAAACAAACAGAAAACACCCAAATAACCTCACAAAAACAAAAATCAAATAAATGAAAGACCAATCGACACACACACAAATGGCCAAACAAAGCAAACGGAGACAGAAAGTCTTCAGAAACACCAGTGAGTTATTCTGTGTTGGTTATCTATCCACTGGGTGTGGACCTGCCCCGGGATGTGGCTGATAGACCCAGTGAGACTCCATTGGAATAAATGGCTTTTCCTTTTCCAGCAGACATCAGTTGTAGATAGCTTCTTGGTTAGGGCTGGGAGCCCGTGTCCACATCCCCCTCTCAGTACTGGGGCCTGATCTGGCTTGGACCCATGCAGCCCCGTGCATGCTGCCACAGTCTGTGAGCTCATGCTTGTCAACCCTGTGGAGTCTGGAAGACTCGTTTCCTTAAAGTCCTCCATCACCTCCCAGCTCTTACTGTCTCTCTGCCTCCTGTTCCCTGAGCCTTGAGGACAGGCCATTGAAGACATCCTCCTTAATGCTCTGAAGTCTCTCCCAGCAGTCTCTCTGAAGCCCATAGCATGAACTTGACTTTGAGGTTTACCCACTTATGCAGCTCCATGGCTGCCATTTCTCTTCTAGAGGTTAAGGATGGCACAGGGACCCCCAACCCCTCACATCAGCTCCCCGCTTTGCTTCTTTTCACTTAGTTAAAAAATTAAAAAGACACAGTCATCCTTCTTTCTCTACACAGCCGCCCATGGCGATGCCATCAGAGCCTCTGCCTCTCTAAGCTATGCTTCCCAAGAGCAAAGCCGTTTCAACCTCGTTGGTGTCAAGGTCCCCATTCATATGACTGTAAATCCTGGGGTAGGCCTGGAATCTTTACCCTGAGAGGAGGAGCTTCTGGCAGGTCAAGGTTGCCACCCTGGGTTCTTCAGCACTGCTGGGTGCTCTTCAGGAAGTTCCTGTGGAGGATGCTCAGCCCTTCTAGAAAGCAAAACCAAGATGGACACAGAGCTAACATTTCCTGGTGCTGGTTTTTACAACACTGTCTTCATCCTCTGGGTCCTACAGGCATCTCTGTCTTGCTCAGCAGCAGGTAGGTGAGACAAACAGGCGACTGCCCAATTGGCTGAGATTTATCCCTGCAGCACAAAGGCTGGGCCTGGGAATGCGGCCTGCTCTTTCCCTGAGTGTTGTGAAGCCCTGTGATGACATGGACCAGTCTGGGTGTATTCTCCCTGGACAGTGTCCACCTAGGTCTGCACACTGCGCACCAGCACAGATGCTCCCCATGGAGGTCTGAGCAACTCTCTCAAGCTGGTTCTGCTCAGACAGAGCTCACAGCCATGCTCCCCGCCTGCAGCCTCCCCTGCCATGACAAGGTTCCTCAGTCAGTAAAGCTCCAGTCATGTGGAGTCTCCCTGCCTCTTTTCCCAGCACAGCAGAACCTCAGCCACTCCCTTTGCCCCGCCTCTCCCACTCTGAGAGCGGGTCCTTCAGTGTTGCTCTAAACCGCAGGTCCGCCAGACTTTCCAATGTACCTGCAGATAGAGTGGAGATGAAGTT